ACTTTGTTCTTAGGTTGATGACTGCACCATGGAGGCTTAAGAAGTCCATGCAAATGACTTCCGGCTGTGCGGATTTCGGGGCGTTCCCAAGCTGTCCTAACTTTCTTCAACTTCGCGGCGAACGACCCACTGATGATGGAATAGTTGGCTCCAGTATCGACGAGAGCGGTCACACAGTGGCCATGGATAAGAACCTCGAGGTCGCCAGTTCGTCATCTCGCATTGAAGTTAGGCCGTGGCATCGGGTCACGGCTGTGTCAGCTTGTTCCGCTGCTTCCATGTTGCATCGTCAGGTCACATTCGATAAGTGAGGTTTTGTCGTCAGGACTTTGCCTGTTTGGCGTCGTGTTGAGAAAGCTCCGTCGCGGCGACATTGTCGTCGGAGGATCTTTGGTAGTTAATCGCACAGCAACCGCACCCTCCATGAGTTGCTGCCCTTAGTTTCCCGGATACGGTCTGAGAGACCGGGCCCGCGTTGGGCCAGAGTACTGCCGGTGTTGCAGTGACAGGCGGCGGCTGGACGACGGCGAACAGGAAGGACTTCGTGATGTCCACTGAGTTCCTGTCAGGTAGTCGGTAATGTCACGTGGCCATTCTCCTTGCTGCAGACGTGGTGCATTGGCAGCGAAGCCACGCAGTCCAATCTGTCACTACTGGCAACGGCCGTAAGTGTGCCTGGCCTTACCACAGTGGTAGCAGGGCGGGCGGTTGTCAGGTGCACTCTAAACGTCGGTTTTCTTCGGTTCGCGCTGGCCCGCTGGCGAACAGTAGGACGTCAGTGGGGGTGGTAGCGGCGGTGGTGTCTGGTGACGGACGTGTGATGGGGCAGCATTTTGGCGTGGACAGGAAGGAGTGTTGTGGCGCACTGCAGCGGCATAGCTCATAGCTTCCGGCTCGGAAAGCGGTGCTTGGTGCTTGGGGAATTCGAAGCGATTGCCGAACTTCTTGCACAATGTCAGCGATCGAATCCACTTGAGGCTGCTCCGAAGGCAACAGCTTGCGCAGCTCTTCCCGCACGATCACTAGAATATTTTAATACAGGTCTTCGGAGTCAATGGCTTCAGCAGCTGCACAGTCTGGAGTCAGGCGACGATTATACTGTGTGGTGAGCATGTCCAGGGTCTTTTCGATAGCGGTCGCCTCCGATACAAATTCTTGAATGGTGTTCGGTGGATTCCTTATCAGTCCCTTGAAAAGCTCCTGTTTGACTCCTCGCATGAAGAACCGGGCTTTCTTTTCTTCTGGTATTTCTGGGTCTGCATGGCGGAAGAGTTTAGTCATTTCTTCTGTAAAGAGCATGACCTTTCGTTGGGTAGCTGGGCGCGAGTTTCGAGCAGAGTTTCAGCCCTCTTTTTGCAGATGGCACTTGTGAAAGTGGCCAAGAACCTGGAGCGGAAAATGTCCCACGTAGTCAAGGTTGACTCATGGTTCTCAAACCATGTCCTGGCGACACCTTGCAAGGCAAAATAGACATGCCACAACTTGACATTGTAGCATCACGCTAGATTTGGCCAGCTGGCCACATCGTAGAAGAAGCGAGCTGCGTGGCTCGTGATGCGTGAGCCACTAGGAATTTCAGGACGACCTAGCTTCGGTTAACCTGGCTGGACACTGCAGCAGCGACTCCGCCTACGCCTGCATCCCAAATAAAGCTGTGACCTCGGCACAGGCTCGTTGCCGCTGTCTCACCTCTTCTTCCTCAACATATGACGACCACGGACCAACGAATAAGTGACCGGCGCTGCACCATTGCTATTGAGCTTCGCAACCATGTTCCAGCCAGCTCAAGAATCACAGCCGCACTTTTACCCGCCTCTATCACCATTCCACACCACCGAAATCAAGTCATGGTTTTAAGAGTTCGAGGTAACCTTGGAGCTCAACAGCATCTGGTTCCGAGAAATTCATGTTCGAGGTCCTGGAGTATGTTCTTCCACCCGACATCAAGCGACGCCTCACCTATTTATCTTGGAGCACCCACCCATATGACGGACTACAGGACGTCGTCCTACGGGTTTGCAGCGCTAAACATCGCCTCCAACAAGATACGGACCAAACACAAGGTCTGCCAACCGCAATATAGCCTTCGCAGATAGAAGCTCCCAAAAGCGACAGCATGGTGTTGACTACGCCTCCCACACCATGGTCCGCCCAGACTATTGCCCTGCCAACAACCACCGGCTACACAAGTGACGGAGATCACCCTGTCACTTCAAATGGCCCATCGATTGAAAGGCCCGCCACCCAGTGTCTCCGCTTCCCGTTTCCAAGGTGTTGGTTCTGCCACCAGAGCCACTTCCCCCTCTTTCTTTGGCACATTCGACGCCAGCTACAACTTCAGATTCTTCGCAAAATCCTGTCCTGCCGCACAGGCTCCCTGATCGCCAACGACAGATGAGCCAGCTGAGCCGCCTGGTGGCTTCTCGAGCACAACTGCCGAGCCCCCCCACTAGGACGGTGACGACAGGGTACAACGCACTGGGTCGGCCAGGTTTGGAACCGCCCGCGCATGCTACAACAGACACACAAGCAGTCAATGGGCATGCTCCCGTGCCCGAATGCTGCTCGTCACTAGACTCTCAACGAAATACTTCGACCACAGGTTCAAAGTCTAGTTTACCGCAGGGTCTGAACCTCCTTTGCGTGACATCCTCCTGGACGAGACCCGGGCATGCCAGTGGCCAGGCTCCAAAATGCAAGCGCCCCAGCTCCTAATGCACCAACACCCAGCCACGACCTCACACGTCACCAAGTTGTGACTCAAACACAGCGACGTTATCGTACCCAGAGGGAAACGTGCGGGCAGCTTTCCACCCATCCTTCCAAGTTACCCCAGGGTACAGGCATCCACCACAAGAAGGCGGAACTACGGCAAAGGCACCCTCTGACACGCCGTGAAATGCGGAAGACAGGCAGGTATCAGTGCTCCACACATCAGCAGTTGGCATCGCACCGACGACGTCGTGCGCAGCACCAGCAGAACCAGCAACATAAACACCACACTTCCAACGCTGCCTCGCCATTTCAGGTGCAGCCCACAACCTACAGTGGGTGTCGTGGGAACATTACAATGCCACGGTGCAGCAGTCGTCGGCCTGTGTTCGCACGCCTGCAGCATAGATGCTACGCAACGCGCTATTTGGTGTCAGTTCATCACCGAAAGCCACGCCTGCGTCGCAGGTATGCGACTTGCGCTACCCGCCCATACGGATGACCACCCTTGCTTCCAGCAGACGTCTCTTGCAATCCTTGCCCGCTGCGATTCTCCCAGAGTCGCCCCCTGGAGACCCACTGATTACTGACGGCCACTCCAGGTTGGCAACCTGGACTTCCCAATGGACACCTTAAGAATTGCCGTTCACGTATATAGTATTTGTCGTTCTCTTTTTTTTGTAATATGTTTTAGATTGTGCAAAGTGCTAGGGGGGGAGCCTATGTAGTGGCATGCTTGATTTGGCCAGCTGGCCGCGTCGAAGAAGCGAGCCGCGGGGCTCGTGATGCGGAATTTCAGAATGGCCTAGCTTCGGAACCTGGCTGGATGCTGCAGCGGCAAAACCGCCTATGCCTGCGTCCCAATAAAGCTGTTACCTCGGTACAGGCTCATTGCCACCGTCTTGCCTCTCGTTCCTCAACATCATCTTCGGTCCAATCATTGAAAAGGGAGACTCGGTCGAACCTTTCAATCTAGCTTTCCAGGTCTTTGAGTGGCAACTTGCGGAAAGTGGGCGGCTCCTTGAGATGCAGGAGCAAGATCGATGCCGGTGGTACAAGCGCTGTCATTGTTGCTGCGGTTGACACCAAAGGCTTGGTATTCTGAGTCTTGTCGGGTAGAAGCCCATACTTCGGTGGCAACCCTTGTTTCCTAGAGCTAACTCGCTGTTTGTGGGTTGCATCGGTGTTCGTGGTGTGGGCTTGGTTCACGGCTTGACAGAGGTGTCCAATACATCAAGAAAGCAGCACCTTCACCACATATCACGGGGTCGTGACGTGGCTGAAGGCAGGAGACTGGATTGTCAGATCAAACTGTTTATTTGGGCGTACCTGTACCAGTAAATGAAAAGTCGGGTTACAGTAGCGGACTAGCACAGATAGCGGCGAACGGAGCGTCGGCCGTCGATCAACTGACAAGCAGCGAAGCGCGTCGGCATTTATACACTTGCCATCGAATGTTCTAGCGTTATCACTAGTGGTGACGTAGGTTCCAGAATAAGCTGTATAGTTAGCAGAGTGGGCATGGTCTTATAGAAATGATTTATTACAGTCCTGAAGCTTCTCAAAGACTGTAGGCGCGGTTTGCACTGAGAATTGCGTAGTGTATTGGGGCGATAACGAACTTGAGAAAAAGAATGTGGCAATACTAACGCTACACAATGCACGCTGTCCTGAGCAGAAGGTGCTTATCACGAACTTCGTGCAGTTGAGAGAGCATTGACAGAACCTTCTCGAACAGAGTTCGAGAAATGGCTAAAGTCCCTTTCTGATGACCTAGATGCATGTACGCGCAGTCGTTACCCCAACCACGAACCTGGACGTGGACCCACATTTCTCAATCTGTGAGAAGTGCATAGAGGGCTCACACGGCATTGGTAGCGCCGCCACTTCAATCGCAAGCTTCGCTGGCGTATTGACCAACTTTCGCACGAGGCACAAGAATATGCACAGAACCTCGTCCGAAACAACTGGTGCTGTTTCTGCAAGCATCTTTCAGGCACCATGAGCACTGTGAAAACATAGTTGACACTTCGCCCCCTCATAAATCCATACGCTACCTGTTGTGTAGTGTGACTGTGGCCGCTAGGTTTGGCGGCAACAGGAAAGACAGCTACGAACATGTGTTGTGTCGCCGCTCCACCTGGTGGCGTTGAAGTGGTCCTGAGTTGTTTTTGATACGCATGTTCTCAGTTGGTGTTTCCCGGCGGAGTGTGGCCTGGCGTAAATAAACGTTAGTGTTCCTCAACCCACAATCTGTAACACTGGCGACGAGGATGGGATAAGTCGGCATGACGTCCAGCGCGGCAATGGAGGACGGGCGGAACCCCGGACAACGGGAGGCCTCCAGCAATGGCTCCCTCGAGCAATTCAACTTGTCACAGCCGGACGAGTGGGAAGACTATGCTCAGCGGTTCGAATTCTTTCTGGAGGCGCAGGGCATTACGGACGCTGGAAAGAAAAGGTCGACGTTTCTCAGCCGTTGCGGGGCCGCGACGTTCCAGTTGGCTAAGGCCCTCGTCGCGCCGGACCAGCTGAAAGATACGCCGTACGAGGATATCATCGCTGCCCTTCGAAATCATCTTTCGCCGAAACCACCGGAATTGGCGCGGCGATACGAGTTCCATCGCAGAGAGCAAGGAACCGGTGAGTCCGTCGCTGCATACCTCGCGGCTCTGCGAACGACTGCACAGCACTGCAACTTCGTTGACCTTGATAAGGCACTCCGAGACCGTTTCGTTTTTGGCCTGAGGAACGATAAAGCTAAACGGCGCATTTTGGCGAAAAAAGAAGTGTCGCTCGCCTGCGCCGTCGAGGAAGCTACCGCCGCTGAGGCCATCGACCGTGAGGCCAGCCAGTCGCGACTAAACGCAACCGCGCCGCGTACCGAGCCAGTGCACCAGGGAACGGTCGCCGACTGTGGAGAGGACCAGGACGGCCTCGAGGAATGTGTTCGTCAGTTACGTGCAGACACCAGTCAACGCAGGGACGCAGGACTGGGGGGCGGATCTTGTGCCGGTTGTGGGGGGCCGCACGAGCGCCGGTTGTGTCGTTTCCGTGATGCCCAATGCCGAGGTTGCGGAAAAACAGGGCACATAGCCAAGGTCTGCCGGTCTCAACGGAAGCGGGACCGCCGTGCAAATTTTGAGACAAACGGCAGGACGGACAATTCGCGGACCACTCCGCGTGCGAGTACCTCGTACTGCGACAACCTCACGAAGACCGCCATCCACGATGTGCCCCAGCCCGGGACAAAGAAGATTCACGTTGCTGTTGAAATCGAAGGTGTGGAATGCGAGATGGAGGTGGACTCGGGATCCACATTTTCGCTCATCTCCGAGGCTACGGCCAGGCAAATCTTCTCGAATGGGTGCATCCCGAAGTTGAAGCAACTCGACCTCGTTATGAAGGACTATCAGGGAAACTGCATAGCAGTGCAAGGGATGGCCACAGTTACAGTAAAATTCAGGGGTTTTGCTGGCCCACTGAAACTTGTCATTGTCAAAGGGCAGCGTCAAAGCCTCCTTGGACTAGACTGGTTTCCAGAATTAGGAATTAAGGTCACCGGAGTACATCGCATGGACGAACTGGCCACGGCATTTGACAAGCTGTTTGAGGAGTTTGCTGTTGTCTTTGACGGAAGACTGGGGTGCTACAAGGGACCACCTGTGAAGTTGGCCTTGAACCCGGAGGTGGTGCCAGTCCGCCTAAAGGCAAGGAGGGTGCCCTTTGCACTGCGCCAAAAGATCGATGCCGAGCTTGACAAGCTGCTACAGCAGGGTGTTCTGGAGCCAGTGGACTGCACGGAATGGGAAACCCCTATTGTCACACCATTGAAGGGAAATGGAGACATCCGCATCTGTGCAGACTACAAGTGTACCATTAACAAGGCCCTCCAGCAGCATGCATATCCGGTGCCGGTGGTCAGCCACGTATTGGCTTCTCTCTCAGGCGGAACCATTTTTGCAAAGCTCAACTTGGCCCAGGCTTACCAGCAGCTGCCTGTCACCGATGAGTCTGCAGCAGCACAGACCATCGTAACGCATCGTGGGGCGTTCAGGGTACGCCGATTGCAGTTTGGTGTCAGTGTCGCACCTGGCATCTTTCAAAATCTAATGGAAACCCTCCTACGTGGAATACCAGGTGTAATTCCATATTTTGATGATGTGCTAATTGCAGGGGCGTCAGGTCAAGAATTGCTCTCTCGCCTTCGCGAGGTCCTTCGCCGTTTCCAGGATGCTGGGCTGAAGGTAAAAAGAGAGAAGTGCCAGCTGGGTGTCGCCCAAGTCGAGTTCTTGGGGTTTCGAATAGACGCCGAGGGCATCCATCCGACCCCAGAAAAAACACAGGCCATTCTTGGTGCACCTCGCCCGTCAAACAAGACCGAACTCCAGGCATTCCTGGGACTGGTGAACTTCTATCATGCGTTCTTGCCACACAAGGCCACTGTTGCGGAACCACTACACCGACTTTTGGACAAGAAGGCCACCTTTGTGTGGGGCCAAACACAACAAAGAGCGTTTGAAAGCGTGAAAGAACTCTTGGCATCCAATCATGTCTTGACGCATTATGATGAGAAGCAACCTCTCATCCTTGCCTGTGATGCGTCCCCATACGGAATAGGAGCTGTGTTGAGCCACCGATTGCCCGGCGGCACAGAAGCACCGGTCGCCTTTTATTCAAGGACCCTGTCGAGTGCAGAGCGAAACTATGCACAGATCGATAAGGAGGCACTTGCCGTGGTTGCAGGCGTCAAAAAGTTTCACGACTACCTGTTTGGCCGGCCTTTTCAGATCCAGACGGACCACAAGCCACTGCTCGGGTTGTTCACGTCTGACCGCCAAACACCTCAGATGCTGTCTCTGCGGATGCTGCGCTGGTCTATCTTCCTGAATGGATACCAACATACGCTGCTCCACCGGGCTGGGAGGCACTTGGGCCATGCGGACGGCCTCAGCAGACTGCCCTTACAGCACCAGTGCCACGATGACCCCTCTCCTGCAGAGGTTGTCATGCTCCTGGATGCGCTGCCAGAACCACCCCTCCATGCAGCAGACATTCCCACCCACTGTGCCAAAGATCGCACCCTTTCACGTGTTCTTAACTGGGTCTGGAAGGGGTGGCCAAGGGGCAGCATGGGCCCAGAGTTTTCTGCCTTCACATCAAGGCAGCACGAACTGACTGCCCACAAGGGTTGCCTACTCTGGAGTGACCGTGTGGTGATTCCACAAAAGCTGCGGTTCCGGGTGCTGGAAGCACTGCATTCTGGGCACCCTGGTATTATCCGGATGAAGGCACTTGCCCGCAGCTATGTGTGGTGGCCAGGCATGGATGCTGCTATCGAAGAATGGGTCCGATGCTGCTCCTCTTGTCAGGAGACGCGGCCAGAATTGCCTCGAGCACCCGTCCACCCTTGGGAGGCGTCTCGGAACCCATGGTCCCGCCTCCATATGGATTTTGCCGGTCCCTTTCAAGGGCAGACCTTCTTAATCGTCGTGGATTCGTATTCAAAGTGGCTGGAGGTCATCCCAACATCCTCTATGACGTCACAGACAGTAATCAGTGCATTACGGAAACTGTTTGCCACGCATGGTCTCCCAGACATCATTGTCTCAGACAACGGAGCTCAGTTTAAGTCCACAGAGTTTCGAGAGTTCCTGGACAGCAATCTGATCCGCCAGGTAACTTCGGCACCATTCCACCCATCTACGAATGGCCAGGCAGAAAGGATGGTACGCACTACCAAGGAAGGCCTATCTCGCATCATCCAGAAGAACTGGGCACGGCGCCTGGCAGATTTCACACTGCAGCAGCACGTAACCCCACACATGACTACGGGGCAATCCCTGGCCGAGCTCCTGATGGGCCGCAAGTTGTCAACGATGTTGGACCGCCTGCACCCTGATCGGGCCCCAGAGAAGTCCACACGGTTGGCAGATTCCCCGTCCAAACCACGCACGTTTAAGCCTGAAGACCCTGTCTTCGCACGTAACTATGCTCAGGGGCCTCTGTGGATTCCAGCAGTGATCTCCCGTGCAACCGGACCAATATCTTATGAGGTCACGGCCCCTGATGGTCGAGTACTGCGCAGGCATGTGGACCAACTTCGTCGCCGGACGGTCGGGCCTACCCAAACGGCGGGTGCAGAACTGGAAAGACCGCAGCCTGAAAGACGACCGATGTCAACGTCTACCCCTGAAGGCTCGAGTTCTGTCCCGGTGGCCCCTGAAGGCTCGAGTTCAGCCCCTGTGGAGCCAGACGCACCTGGGGAGCAGCCGACTCCTGTGATTAGCAGTGTGCCCCCACAGGAGGGCGGAACAGTTCCACTGACTGTCCCAGTGGAGGCAAATGGCGAGCCTTTAGTGCCACCACTGTGCCTTCGTCGCTCGCAGCGTGCTCGGGGAACCCCGCACCATCTAAGAGACTACGTACTGGCCCTGGCTGACTGCTGAGTTCAAACTTGGAGGGGAGGGGTGTTGTGTAGTGTGACTGTGGCCGCTAGGTTTGGCGGCAACAGGAAAGACAGCTACGAACATGTGATGTGTGGCCGCTCCACCTGGCGGCGTTGAAGTGGTCCTGAGTTGTTTTTGATACGCATGTTCTCAGTTGGTGTTTGCCGGCGAAGTGTGGCCTGGCGTAAATAAACGTTCGAGTTCCTCAACCCACAATCTGTAACACTACCAAAGCGCAAACTTTTCACCAACTACACTGCTTGACACATATGTACAATAACAATCCATCCAGCCTCCTCAAAAAGTTTGAACGTTTCATTGTTACCGGCCCCATGACAAAGCATCCCGACTGCCCACATGAGGCAGAATATAATGAGAAACTTGACGCAGACATAACAGTTGATAAAGTTTGCATAGTTCTTCAAGATCTCTAGGAGCTGATTGCATTCGATATTCTGCCATTTGCAAGCTCAGTGACTCCATATGTCAATCGTTTAACGAATATTTTCAAAGACTATATTTGTGGTAGTGCCTTAGCCAAGAGTCTGCCGTTCTTGTGCTGACCACACTTACAATCCTGATAAAAATGTGGGCGTCAACATCCTTCGTTAAAGCATAGCCACCACTAAGTTATAGGAACATGATGGTGTTGACCTCCTCAAATTTTTCAACAGCATATTTTTGACTTGCATAAGCTTGAAAACTGACAAATTTTTTTTTCTTTACAAGACTGACAAGACTTGTTTATTGCTAGGTATCCAGTCTGGTAAGCCACACAAAAGCCACATCTGCAATGAAAAGTGTCACCTTCTTCTCAGACCATGAATGTTGTTCACAGCACTGTGCATTAATTTCCGTGACAACTTCAAGGGCGATCCTGAGCTCAGTATGCTTCCTGAGCATGCTGTAGTGAAAGAAAAAAAAAAAAAAACTATTAACCATCTTCCCGAAGGGAACCCTGATGGGATGCAAAGCAGCAGCGGTGCGCACGATTGAAACAGGCGTCCATGCCGGTGCTGGAAGAATGGTTTGAAGCGAAACTTGGTGTAGCATTTACTCGAGTAAACGTTTGTTTGAAATGCAAGGACACAGGAGGCAGAACGTGCTGAAAATGCTTGCGCTCAGCTTCCTTAGCTTGTGTCGCGTCAGTACTACCCGCGCGCCGTCTGTATTCTCAAACGCGATCATTGTTTTTGACTCGCACCTCAGTGTCGCTGGTCTTCCACTGCCGACACTTGCAATCGGCTTTCCTGGCTCAGGCCATGTCAATGTTGACGTCGATATTTCTGAACGCGATCGGCTTCGCTAATCCTTGCAACGCTGGCAGCAGCTAGAAAAGGTACGCGCACACTAGGGGGAAACATGCCGCAACGGCGTCCCGCCCGCCGGCCCGGTCGCGCGGCAAGCAGCGACACACTGTCCATTGTCGGCGCCACAAGATTTTTCAGGCGCACACAGCGCATGCACCCGCTGGCTCGCGGCTTCTCGCTGACAGATGGAGAGAAGTGGTGCGGGTGAGATGATGCCCACCAGAGGAGTGAGCTCGAGCATTTCGAACGGTGGAAAGGGTGAAGCGAGAGACAGCTGACACGCGGTGAGCGTGCAGCAGGCGAGAGAGAGACACGTCACTGCGTACTGCTAGGAGGGCGTGAGCTACCTGGCACCACTCCAGCACTTGCGGTGAGGAGAGTGGTGCGGATGAAGGGACAGCGTTACACAGGCTAGTCATAGTACTGCTTCGCATCTAAAAACCTAGATAGACATATATTTATTATAGAAACGTTCAACTTTATTGGTGTTATAGAACATGAAGCCCTGACATGAGAAAATTTAGAATATAAAAAAAAAATCCGACGGCAAGTATGACTTTGCTGCATCAAGGCACAACAAACAAATGCTAGTGGCACTGGCATGCACACGCACATCTTTCAGTATATAATGCAAAAATATTGCATATTCTTGAGCATGCTAAAAAATGTTTGTGGTAAGATACTTGAATTCAGAACAGCCATTCAGGTGAGCTAAGCACAGGACCGTCCTGTGCTTTGTCCCTTGTTCTTTGTTCAATTGTTAAAAACAATTGACGCCCGATCATTGAAATGGCAAAACATTTTGAGGAAGAAAATTCCCATTGAGAAGACTTACCCAGTGTCCTGGCAAGTACAGGCAGTGCAGAACTGAGCACAAGCAGGATGGCACAGTTGCCGATGATTTGCGTCACAGTGGCTGATGATGGCTTCAGTTGTAGCCGACAGAAGACAGGCAGTGAGAAGAAACCCACCACAGATGCCAGCCACAGGTAGCTGGTAGAGCTCAGGAATTATTCTTCAGAGAAACAGCATGGTTTTAACTTTGGGCATTTTTTATTACCTAAGATCACCAGGTTTCAAAATCGATTAGAGACTAGTTTTGGGTGGTGATATACATAAAAACATGTTGCAGTGCACTTCGCAGACGCTCACTGCGGGTGCTTGAATTCAATGCATGCACTAATACCATTTCCCCACCCACTCGTATTCAAGGTAACTGCGAAACTTTACTCGACATTTTTATTACAAATATTGATGCACAAAACATTGAATCAGGTGTCATCACGGCTCCGGCCTGCAACCACTTGCTTATATTTTTTATTGCGAATTCATCTGTGTTGCCCTCACATCACTCCACAGATCAGCATTAGACATTTCGAGATATTAACCCATTCGCACTTGATAAATTTTGCAGCAAAATTTTGCGCATAAGCTGGCAAGAAGTGTACGACGAAAGAGACCGCGATAAAGCATACGAGTTGTTCTTATCGGCTTTTACAAGCGCTTATGCAAAGTCATTTAAGCGTAAAACAATAGAAGCCATAAAAGCAACAAAACCATAGATTAATGACACTACGTTGAAATTATTAAAGCAAAAAGATGCTCTTTTTAAATGGTTCTTAAGCACAAGAGATGCAGCAGATTTAGCCACAGAAAAAAAACTCTAAAATAAAGTGAATGGGTTCCTAAGGGCAGCAAAGACACAGTACTTCGAGAAGCTGTTGCCTGCTGAAACGATAATGTGAACCGATGTCATATTGAAAAATCTAAATAGTTTACTGCATGGAAACCAACAGCCAGATAATCTACAGGAATTAACAGTAAACAGTGCGCTCATATAAGGCACGGCATTAGCTGATGCCTTTAACAACTATTTTGTGTCATTTGCAAATAGTTCCTATGATTCCCAACGCACAGAATGTTTAAAACCGAAAATCGTTCAAAGTGCATTCCTAAACCTGACTGACACTTAAGAGATACAAAGCGTGTTTCGCAGTATTCGAAATAGTAAAAACTGCGACATTGATGATCTGCAGATTCGTCCACCAAAACATGTACTAGATCTAGTCCTGTTTTGGAGCATGTGTACAATCTTTTGCTAGCGAATCGCACATTTCCAAAGTGCATGCAAATCGCGAAGGTAATGGCACTTATCAAATCCGACGACAGAAACAAGTTTTCCAACTATAAACCAATATCAATCCTGCCTGTTTTTTAAAATGTCTTGAAAAGGTGTTACATGTAAGGATAACGTCATTAGCACAATCTAATTACAGATTTTCAATTTGGAGTTTGAAAAGTTTGCTCAACTGAATTAACATTACTAACTCAAAAAAGAACTAATTCTGCGAGGCTTTGAAGAAAATTTGGTTACCTTCGGCATATTCATAGATACTTCAAAGGCCTTCAATACCATAAATCACAGCATTTTACTAAAAAAACTTGGTATCTACAGTTTTAGAGGTACATTTCTTAACTTCATCAAAAGTTATCTGCTGTATAGGTATCAAACTGTTGTTATAAGCAATCACTATTCAAAAATTTTATCAGTACGTTCTGGTGTTTCGCAAGGAAGCATTCTAGGACCACTATTGTTTAACATTTATATAAACGATTTAACAAATATCAACACTATGGCGTGATTTGTTATATATTCGGACGACACCAGTCTATTTCCGACTTCCAGAAACATTGGAGAGCTAGTCAGTACTGCCAATAATACTCTAGAGCAAATAAACAAGGGGAGTTATCAAACTATTACTGCAACCAAAAAAGCAAGTGTGCTTTTTTAACCAAAAAACAAAAAACAAATGACTCATGGATGTCTTTAAATAGGAACCTCTGTGATAGAAGTAGTGCCTTCAATCAAAAGTCTAGGTGTCATTTTTCAGGAAAACATGTTATGCAATGAACATGTCAACTATATTGCTAACAAGCTTGCTCGAGTTAGAGGTGTACTAGTAAGATTATGCTGCTTGTTTGCATTAAAAGAGAAGCTATTACTTTATTAACTCTTTTTTTCTATCCTATATCTTTTTCTATCCTATATCAACTACTGCCATCTCGTATGGGGCAACACAACCAGCTCAAACACAAACATTTTATTCATGTTGCAAAAGAAAGCCGTTCAAACGATTTTAAATGCTTCGTTCGATGGACACACTGATCCCATTTTTGACCAATTACATATCATGCTAATAAAGTCAGTGTACAATAAAATTCTGAAAAAATAGATTTTGATAGAAAGGAAAAATAGCATGGGTTTTCTACAGCATCTGTCACGGCTAACATTAAATTCAAGCACATTCAGTACATGACACAAAGAAACCTGGTTTGTCCCACATTGTTGAACAAATTATGGAAAACAAATGCTACGTCATGTCTTACCATCTTTACTTAACTCTTTTCTTTAACTGCCATACTTTCTCTTGCAAAGGATGTGGATGTGTTGATCACCCAGCTCATTGATTTTAATGAACATGCATTTTATATTTAAAGTATACGGTGATATGTTTGAACATTTTTTATAATTATTAGTGAATATTTATTATGCTTGTATATTTATAATGAATGTTATTTGTTTATTATGTTGAAAGTGTGTAGCGACGCGTTGCAAACTTTGTATACGAATCAGTTCGATGTTTCAGATACAAGCGTTTTTTTTTATGCATTGTACTACTTTTGATTTTG